TTCAGTTCAGTCCCATCCAGAACGGCTTAATCTAGCTCGAATTTTAGATAATGGGCCCAGCTTCACTCTGTCGAATCGACCCATAACTATAACATAAGTTGATCGGTAGTATAACTATAACACGAGTTGATTTGATCAGCATTATTTACACCAATACCAAGTCTTGAATATATAAGGCATTGGAGAGGATAAGCGGTGAAAAAGAGAAACTGGGTTGGTCTAGTTTTTTGAATGCTGTCCACGGCAAAAGATGGTGGATCTGATACCACTGGTTCACTTTCCCTTGTATGTACGTGTGTGTGTATATATATATATATGTAAAGGTTCCCTTTCCAGAAAAGATTGAAAGTAGGTTTCAAATCATTTTTCTTTTTCGTTCTAAAACAACAATAATAATATGTATTATATTGTTGCTTATAAAGTTAGCCACTTGATAATTCTTCGAGTTCACGGCATCAGAGTCAAAAGTCATTATTAGGCTAATGAATTTCTTCCCATAATCAATTTTAATGCTCGCGTATTGGCATTATCTTCTTCCTCTGCACCGTACATACATATATATATATACATATATATATATATCTGTGTGTCTGTGGTTATATACACAGTAATGATTATACCCTCAAGTAACATATTAAAGAAAATCCAATAACTGTTGTGGGTGTGTATGTAAATTTGAAGGGTTGTATTGTCAGAATCAGTGGTTGGAAAGTATATATCTGCCAATAGAGAAGCTTTATTATGTTTTTCTGCAACTTCCATGGATAAGAATTAAGAACACACCACCAAATCTATACCAACATCTTATTATTTTTTATTAATAAAAAAATTATTAATTATATTAAAATTAATTGAAATAATTATAATATATTTTTTTACAATTGGGTTTTTTTTTTTTAAAAAAATTTGTAAAATATATATATAGGATATATTACAATGATTTTTTGATTTTCTTTTTTAAAATTATGTGTATTATCTCAAATTTTGTATTGACACAAATAATTAATTATTTGGACTCTAGAGAATTAATGAGACCAACTTTTTCTCTATAATAATTTTTTTTTCTATTTTAATTAAACATATTAAATTATGAAAATTATTATTTCGGTCAAATGCGTTATTTTTTTTATAATTATTTTTTTTTGTAAAATATAAAAATACTAATTTGTAATTTGACGAAGAAGGAATTACTGAAAATTAATAGATTTTTATTTATTTATTTTTTTTACTTTGGTAAATAATATAATATTAATAAATTGAAAAAGAAAAGTTGGCAAATGAATGTGACGGAAAATTAAGTGCTTATTTGGGACCCATTTAGGACTTCAATTTCCACGCTGTCAGCATCATCATCCCTAATTAATCTATAATAATTATCGGCTAATCAAAGAGTTAAAACTGAGTTCACATGTCCATCCGAGTTCGCTCGGTGAGTTTGTGAGTCGGATGGTTTCGCCTTTTTTTTGTTTTGTACAAAGAGAAACAAAAGTTAAAAGAAAATTAAGAGATTGTCGTGTACATTTTAAATCAAAAAATATTCATGATATCATCAGTGAATAGCTGTTGCTTGATTGATTGGCGAATATTATCATATCTTTACCGGTTGACCTCAATTTTCATATTCAAATGTCCATTCGAGTTCACTCGGTGAGTTTGTGAGTCGGATGACTCAGTTCTTTCTTTTTTTTTTTGTATAAAGAGAAACAAAATTTTTTTAAAAAAATAAGAAGTTGTCATGTATATTTTGGATCCAAAAATACTCATTATATCATCAGTGAGTAATTGTTAGAGATCATTCGACAGTTGAATATAAAAATTGAAGTCAACCGGTAAAGAAATAATAATATTCGTCAACGAGTCAACACATTTATTCATTTTACGATAAATATGTTGGATATAAACCGATCAATCTTGCAATAACAAGTGTTTGATTGTACGAACAAATATCGTATGCGTATTAATATCGTAATTTTTTTAATGAATAATTATACTGTTAAAATATTATTTATTTTTAAAATAATATTATAAAATCTTAAATTTTAAGCAGAGTTGAAAATCATCAAAGAAACGAGACATTTCAAGCGTCTCGGTTCTTTCTTGAGTTGACGGGATAACCACTCCATCCAAAAAAGATAATAACAATTTAAACAAAAAAAAATTAAATTTTATTTTGGGATTTTTTAATTTGATTTAAAAACATTTTAAAAATTTGAATTAAATTTAAATTAAAACCCAAAAAAATTTAATAAATTCTTAATTAAATCGTACTAATTTAATATCAAATTATGTATAGATTTTTATTTACTAAATGCTAAATTTAGAGGTGTAAAAAATAATTAAGAACAGATTTGAACTATTAAACATATTTAAGAAAGGTTGCTACTTTTTAGTAAAAGACAAGAAAAAAGATAAAATCAGAGAGAGAGATATATATATATATATATTTGTTAGAGAAGATATATAATTTATTTATCTATATAAAAATATTGACCAGCAATAGTAAGTGGAGTGTTCGGCCATTAATGGCCGATGAAGGAGACGGCGAACTGCTACAATCAACTCCAGACCAGTAAGATTGAGTAAAATGCAGTGAAGAAAAAGAATTTGCAGAGAACGACTCTTCTTCTCGAACCTCTGGTTTTAACCTCTTTAAAAGCCCCGTCACTGCTTCTCACACTCTGTTTACACTCACTTTTCAACAACACCTTTGTATTGCTTTGCTTCTACTTTCCGTCACTCTGATATTAAGTTGCTTCCTTTCTTATCTTCTTCCCAGTTTTCATTCCACCTGCTGTTGTATTCCAAACAGAAGTGTGCGTTCTGAATCTGGAGGAGGAGCTCTTATGGAAGCCGGGTCGAGCAACAATCCGCCAGGCAAGGCCGAGAAGAAGAAGGAAGGAGGTGCCAATGGAAACTCGAGACTGGGTTCTATGTTACCCAGGATCGACCCATTTGTGCCTCGGAAGGACCATAACCCGGGAGAGTTGAGATCGTGGGCTAAAAAAACTGGTTTTGTCTCAGATTTCTCAGGAGAGACGAGTACGAGTGCCAGTGAGCAATTCAGTTCCAGGTTTGATCTGGAGAAGGGTGTTGATCACAGAGGAGGCGGGTCATCTCCAAAAATCGAGATCGATCCAATTCTCGGCCGGACCAGACGAGGAACCGAAATTGAACCGGACTCGGGTTCTGGACCCGGACGTGGAGTAAGGAAGAAGGAGAATGGAGGTATTTTGGGGGTTAGAGATGGAACAGCAAGAGATGAGAACGAGAGGAGAGGCACCGTAAACGAGCCTGTTTTGGGTCCTAAAGAGGACGAAAGGAACGTCAATGGAACTAGACATGCGAATGGAATTTCTCGAATTGGGAATCAAAATGCCAATAGAGGAATAATGAATGGGAATCAAATTGCCCCGGGGAACGGACACGAAGTCCCTATGGTCACTCCTTCAGTTGCGGGGGACCTGAAAATTGAGGATGAAAAAGCTGAAAGAGATATAGAAGACGGGTTGTCTCCGGAAGGAGCGGAACCCGGTCATGGCGGGTGGAGTAGACAGTCTCGACTGAAACATGGGCTTAGAGATAATCCGGGTTATGGTTAGTATTCTCACCTCTCTTACCTTACACAGTCATACATAACTTGACTGATAATAGCCATAGCTGTAAATTGTTTATGGCTATGGTGAGTTGTGACTGGCCTGTACTCTTCCATGTAAGGCTTCTATACGTTTTATAAAGAAGCATAAAAATAAGCTTCATTGAAGTAACGTAGACATGTAAGATGAAGGTTCAAGCTGTATTTTTACTCGGAAGTTTATTCTCGGGCCAGCTTTCGACCATGGAGAATAAGTTTTCTTCTGAGTGGGTCCCACGTCAGATCGGTGTATTCGCTGTAATTTCTTGAAGGTGGTCTAGTTCCTGCAAGATCGAGCTTCTTTATCATATGTCATGTTTCTGTATACAGGGTTCTTTCATTTCCTATGCAACTGCGAAGTGGAGGGTCTTAGTGAATATAATTAATCAGCGCTTCTAATACGTTCTTATTTAATTTTTCGTCTCAAATGCAGTGCCACTTGTATATTATGGCTTGCAGCACTATTTGTCATTGGTGGGTTCAATTGTATTCATCCCCTTGATCATGGTTCCTGCTATGGGGGGAACGGATGTAAGCAGCTTTCATGTTCATTCTTTCATATGTCCAGAAATTAGGAAGCTGATGTTGTTTTATTTACGAGTATATATATTTTTTTTTTCACTTGAATGACAGAAAGATACTGCCACAGTTATTTCGACAATGTTGCTAATAACTGGAGTTACAACAATCCTTCACTCCTACTTTGGTACCCGGCTTCCATTGGTTCAAGGGAGTTCTTTTGTGTATTTGGCTCCCGCACTGGTCATAATTAATGCTCGGGAGTTTCGAAATCTCACAGAACATGTAAGTTTCATAAGACCAATAAAAGTTATATCAGTAAGTCAATGTTATTTTTCTTTATTTTTATCTTCCAAATAGAATTCAAAATGATAATTTGTTGCTGAAATTTTAATTATTGTATTTTTCTTTCATTTATATGTACTTTTTATGTTGAAGTTTTGACATTTTCCTGCAGAAATTTAGGCACATAATGAGAGAACTGCAAGGGGCTATAATTGTTGGATCATTATTCCAAAGCATCTTGGGATTAAGCGGTTTGATGTCCCTTCTGTTAAGGTAATTGAAGAGCTTGTCTGTAATAATCTTAACAAAATATGCATCTTCATAAGCCTAGATTTATGTTTCTAAAGCTAAGTGGATAAGTTTATTGCTTAGCTGTTTCTTTTGTCATCGTAGGGAGTTCAATGAAAGGAAGTTTGATGGTTAGTAGGTTCAGCTACCCATGATGATCTAAAATCTGTTACAACTCAGTTGTCATTCTCGGCATCTTGCAAAATAAGTCATTTAGCATCCTACATTTCGTGTTGGTAGTACAATTGGCGAAGATCTTGATATATATTTGTGGTCTGATAGGCTCAAGAGATCTTATAACGGATGGATATGTGATGATGAAAAACACTATCAAGACTGATTCAGACCCAAAAAAAATATGAAGGATATAAAGGTTTTAAGATTTTTAGCATCCCATGTTTAATAGTAAAATAGGCAAGATCACGAGGGAAAATTACCATATACCACTTTCTCATTCCAGATCTGATGTATTTTTCCAAGCTGATGAAATTTCAACAATAAGGTGGAAAAACCAAAACATTAACTCTTATATGGTTTTGCTTTCCAGATTGATTAACCCAGTTGTGGTTGCCCCAACAGTTGCTGCGGTAGGTTTAGCATTCTTCAGTTATGGTTTTCCACAAGCTGGCAGTTGTGTGGAAATCAGCATTCCCCAGATATTTTTGGTTCTTCTATTTACCTTGGTAAGAATTTAATGGGCATTTTATTTTGTAATTAGCAGTTTTCCATAATAATTCTGTTTTGCTATGCATTACAAGTTCTACCTCTTCTTATCTAACTATTACATAATTACTTAACCCAATAACATTTAGTGCTCATTTAATCATGCTGTTTAGTGTTTGAAATGATTACTTCTGAATTATATTCTACTTTTTCAGTATCTCCGAGGAATTTCTGTCTTTGGACATCGCTTATTTCGGATTTATGCGGTATGTAATGAGGTCTTCACTATTTTAATTATTATATAAGTTTCAGCCTTGGGGAGTAACCTTTTTTGTCCTTTATATCTCATGGGCTAAAGTTTCACTACCTATTGATTTATGTGTTCTCCATGAAAATCATTTTCCAAATTTCGTATATTTGGCCTACCTTGTATTCGCTCATTATATAAATTCCCATCATATGATGTAATCAACTTTTTCATCCCTCCTTGAAGGTCTTCACCTCATTCCAAGTCATGTTCGTCTGGGAACTCCTAAAATTAGGCCCAAGAATCATTTTGCTGATTTACTGATGTTTCTGGCTAAAAGTTATTGAAGAACTCAACAGATTTTATTCTAAGCAATATGTACATGTTCCTCAAGCTTCAATTTTCTATGACGGCTATATGATTAACGTTGATATTCCTTGATTTTGCAGGTTCCTTTAAGCGTCATGATCATATGGATCTATGCATTATTTTTGACGGCAGGAGGAGCATATAATTACAAAGGTTGCAATCCTGATGTACCAACATCAAACATGTTGATTGATTCATGTAGGAAGCATGCATCTACAATGAGGCATTGCAGGACTGATGTCTCTAATGCATGGAGAACTGCTGCATGGGTCAGAATTCCCTACCCTTTACAGTGGGGAGTCCCTATCTTCCATATGAGGACTTCCCTGATCATGATCTTTGTGTCATTAGTTGCATCAGTGGATTCGGTTAGTATTTTTAAGCTATATAATCAAATACTGCAAATAATCATGATCATGTATTTTTCTGAGGAAAGCTTTTTGGACAGTGACTACTTAATCATTTTCACTCCCTTCCCCAGCTATACTACCTGGTTACCACACACCAAATTGCGTCATGTTATGGACAGTAATTTTTTTTTCCATGGTTAAAACTTCAAAAGCAGCTTTCAATTTTACTTCCTGAGTCAGTAGAAGGCTTGTCACTGCACTTCAGGGAGCAATTAACTTAATTTTGTTGTTAGCAATTTAACCTATAGTAAAAAGTGCTCTAAAAAAAGCATATGATGGCACTTGGAGGTTGACACTGATGCCAGTGGTAAAATAACTTATCCAGGTTGGAACATATCACACTGCATCCATTTTAATCAATTCAAAGCCTCCGACCCCAGGAGTTGTCAGCAGAGGGATTGCATTGGAAGGCTTCTGCAGTATGTTAGCTGGACTTTGGGGTTCAGGTACAGGATCAACTACTTTAACAGAAAATGTGCATACCATCAACACAACGAAGATAGCTAGTCGAAGGGCTGTCGAACTGGGTGCAGCTTTCCTAGTTCTCTTCTCATTTGTAGGTATGTCAACCCAATATGATTTCTTTCTTGAGAGTGGAATGTTTCCCTGAAAGATGTTGTTGCATGATAAATGCTGGCATAACGCATGCAAGGAATTGGAACATGGGACCATGGACTTTCACTTTGCTAGCCATGCATTTAGTTTAAATGCAGACATAAGATGCCCCTGACTTGGCATTCCAGTGGAATTGGTTGCAATCCTTTGTGTTTAAGTTGGGTTTTCTGCATTTAGACAGACATCTATTCTTAGCTTACCTATCTCTCTATCTGTCTCTTTACCTATATGCAAGTTATGCATGCACAACAAGCACATAAATCTCTTCATTAGCATTTCAGAAATGATCACCCTGCATACCAGGTTTCCTATCTGTTAGAAATTGCATTGTAGGATTTAGTTAGATGGACATAGTTCTAATTTTACTTGGTATGGCAGGAAAAGTAGGTGCTATTCTTGCTTCTATACCGCAGGCCTTAGCTGCTGCTATTTTGTGCTTTATGTGGGCCCTTATTGTGGCACTGGGTCTCGCAACTTTGCAATACAGCCAAACAGCAAGTTTTAGGAACATAACAATAGTTGGTGTCTCCTTGTTTCTTGGTTTATCCATTCCTGCCTATTTTCAGCAATACCAGCCTGAATCCAGTTTGATACTGCAAAGCTATTTTGTTCCTTATGCAGCAGCATCAAATGGACCAATCCACAGTGGTGGTAAACAGGTAAGTCATCCTTTTCGCCAGAATGAACTTTGTATATACAACTCAGGCCCTGTTCTGCTGGGCTTTTGGTTTTTACTTTTACATTTTAAAAGTATTTTTGCAACTAAATAGATAACATTTAGTGTGTTTTTGGTAAAAAAAAGAAAGCTAAAATCTGTTATTAGAAGTTTAAACACAAGTTACAATTTGTAACTTTTAGAAAATGACTTTTAACTTTTCAGTTAGAAAAAAAAATTACATTTGAATTCTCAGATATCATTTTAACTAGACATACAGCTTCTGCTTTTTTAAAATAACAATACTTTTTATAACTATGTGTACTAAATTGCAAACAACTTTTGACTAATAATGCTTATAGTGAACAACTATTTTAACAATACTTTTAAAACTTACAGTATTAGTTACAGCAATTCTAAACATCTACTAAGTTGATAGTCATATTCCCAAATGTCATCCTTCTTTTACACAAATCAAATTATCGGTCCTTGATTTTTTTTGTTCTAAATACAAATTACATTTTCACCTTTTTGGTTTAACTTTTTTCAGGTTCAACCCTTGTAATTTTTATTTGGCATTCATGATTTACCAGATAGTTATTTTAAGTTTTTGCATTTTTTTAAAGAAAGGTAGAATATATTCGAGAGCACTATGGAGTGCAAACCGTATATAAAAGTATTTAAATTTTTATATGATAACATTAGTTACCTAGATGATATATGCACGTATTTTTCACTTATAAACGCACATGCATAGATGTCCAAGGATTAAAAAAATGTTACAAGAAAAGAACCTCAAAATCTGATGCTGTTCATAAGACGAAAATAAACCAAACAACAGGTGCTGAAATATCACAGGAAAACCACAGGCATTGACTATAAGACAAAGTACAGAGTAGTATGCAGGAATTTGCCCTTACTTTATGGCATGCATATATCCATGTGTAGCTTTCCTTGCTAGATATTGATATGTAAAACAGGACTAATTTGATATTCTCTTGGAAAATGTATGCAGTTTGACTTTGCAATGAATGCATTAATGTCTTTAAACATGGTGGTGACCTTTTTGTTGGCATTTATCCTGGACAACACTGTCCCAGGCAGCCGGCAAGAACGAGGGGTGTATATATGGTCAAGGGCTGAAGACATGGCAATTGATCCAGCTATGCAAGCAGACTATTCCTTGCCAAGAAAAGTAGCTCGGTTCTGTTGTTGG